TCGCGTTGGATTTGATGCCAACTCGTTGCGGCGGATCTTTGCGGCCTTTGTGGCTGAGGTCGTCCTCGATCCACTTGGTCGGATCTTGCCCTGTGGAGTCACGTTCTTCCTGCCGCCTTTCCTTTCTCCCCAGCAGAGTGCTCTCTTGCAGTGGCTCAGGCATTGGCAGAAAGCCAGCGGGATTGGCGAGTTGAGTATGCTCTGTTCCGTCCTGGCGTTGCTGTGCCACCTCTACCTGAAGATTGGGGCCTCCACTCCTGGGAGGACCCTTGGGCGAGCGCAGACCCTCGGACGTCTTTCTTGGATGCCTTTGTGCTGTGGTCGGGAGTACTGCTGAGCTAATGGGAATGATTTCTGTGCTGCGCCATGCTGAGCCGGGGCATTGGAACCTATTTGTCGCTGACCGAAGTGCTCTTTTCTCACTTCTTCGTGCTGCCTCCCCTCGCGACGTGGATGCCTCCCTCCTTCGCTCAGCTCATGCCCCACTGGCCTGTCGCGTGTTCTGGTTACTGGACCGGCTCCGCCGTGGTTGGACGGGCTGTCCTGGTCGCACTCCAGGATGGCGAATGCATCAGACGCCCTTCCCTGACCAGTGGAACGTGAGGCGGCAACATGAGGGCCATCTTGCATGGTTTTGCCAGATCCCTTTTTGCCAATATGGGCTGGTTGGGGTGGACGTGAAAAGCCACCAGTCCGGCGTCCCTGTCCCCATGGATCTCATTGTGCTTGGAAATGAGGCGCAGGACCGCGCGTGCGCAGCCGCACGTCTCCCGTCTGGGGGCCCGTTTGCTTTTCTCTGCTACCATCAGGCCATGGTCACATCCCCCACTCGGTCTGCAATACGAGGCGTCCTTCGTCAGCAGGCTCTGATGGAATGGCGGAAGCGCCCGGTTCAGGGCAAAATCGCTGCTATGCAAGGCTGCGTCTTCTCGGATGTTCTCGACATGTCCTTCTACACCTCCTGTCCAGGATTTGGTGCTTCGTCCCCACTTCGCCGCTTCGCCTCCCGCATGATCAGCCTTCGGTGGATCTCTCGGTTACCTTGTTCCGCTGCGTCCGTCTCGTTGGGGGCGGATGGACTGAGCGTATCAAAGTTGACCCGCAACTCATGTCAGTTGCCCGCCACCTCTACGAGCGTAATATCCTTGCCTCCCCTCGCACTTGCCCGCTCTGCAGGGCTTTGCCGGGCACACCTCGGCATGTTATCATGAGCTGCTCTGTCATGAAGCCGTTGGTCGACCTACTCCGCGATGTGCTGGAACAGCGGCTGGATCAGCTGAATGCCCATGGTCTTATGCTCCGCCTTGCACACGTGTGGCACAGGGATGTGCAGGCGCGTGGTCTGGGAACGATCATTGGCAGCGTTGCCCCGGAGGTGCAGGCCCGCTGGCCCTTGCTCTCAGCCTGGCGCTGGCTTGTCCCACGCTGGACCGGGAAGTCATTCTTTCTGCCGACACTGGGGGCCATAGTGCGGCAGCGGTATGTGCTGAGGGGGAATGTGACCTCGCCCACCGCGGTGTTTTACCTGCTGCACTTGGTCGTGCCATCCTCCAGGCAGCTCGGGGCACGCCTGTGCCGGATGATGCCTTGCCTGACGCAGCTGAAGGCTTTGCGCGCGTTCTGAGTTCTGCCCAGCTCGCCGCTGAGCAGGCCAGGCACCGGTCACTTGTGGACAGGCTCCGGCCGGCTATTGATTTCACTGCTGTCTTGCTGTGTGGTCTTCGGGCCGCTCGCTGGCAATACTCTGCTCGGACTGGGCTCGTGGCGTCCTGCGTGCGCTCCATGCAAGCGTGCTCGGCGCCGCAGCCCGAGCCAGCAATGGCAGGTATCCGTCCAGGTGTCCCCTCTCCGCTGGCGCGCTACCAGGCGTGGAGCACATCCCCTGGAGGGGTTGTCATCTTTGAGGTGGTTCGCGTTAACGTTTGTAATTATGTGTTCACGCCTGTCCTCTGAGCTGGGATGTCGCCTTTCGGAGCGTACCCTTCAGCAAATCGTGCGGTTGGCCCAAGCCAGCGGGGTCCCGGTCCGCACCGGCATGTCGCTTGAGTGGGGATGCGCTGTCACCTGGCCTTTTGCTCTTGAGATCCTTCATACGCAGTGCGCCTGTCCTGCGCTTCCTGGCCCTCTCCCTGCCCTTGATCTGTGTTCCACGTGCGGGCGGGCGCGGCTGGCTCCGGCCCCGCCCGAGCCTCTCCCTTGCTCATGGTGTCACGGGCTTGGGGATGCTGTGTGTCGTGGCTGCAACCACTGTATCCACTTCCGGCCTCACTGTCGTTGGAACTGTGGCGCTCATGCAGCGTACCTGCCGTCCGCGGCTCACGTCGTTCAGCTCTGCCCTGACTGTGCGTTCTCTTGGTTGTCTGCAGTTGCTGCCTCACCTCTCTGTCCAGTTCATCCTCCTTTGCAGGCAGCCCTGAGTGCGCACATAGAGTCGGTGGTTAGTCAGGTCCATCCAGGAGCCGGTCATGGCGTGGCTCAGCCGCCTGTGCTCAGCAACCGTCGCATCAAGCGATGGCTGTACCGCTTCCTGCAACGTAGATCCGACCCTGTCACAGTCTCCGCGGCGCTAGCCGCCTGTGATGGTGCTCTCGGCTCTCCGCCTGGCCTTTCAGTTGGCTTTCGCCTCTGTATCGAGAATCTGCGTCGGGAAGGGGGGATGGTCCTGACCGTCGTTGCAGGCGAGCCTGCCATTGCCTTGGCCTGAGCTCGGGAAGGTCTCACATCCTACCGGGCCTGTTCTGGGGTGCCTTGCATGCTTCTGTTCCTGCGTTTTCTTTGTTACTCATGCTCAGGCCCCCCTGTTTCCACCATCTGCCCCTGTCTTAGCTGCGCCGGCCTTGGGTTCCCCATGGTACGGCTTGTGCCTTGGCTGCGTTTATTTTTCCGGCCGGCTTGAACCCCAAGCTTCGGCCGGGGGGGAAGCGCGGGCCTGGCCTCACTAACATGTGCTGGCCACACACCAACCAACCAACCAACCAACGAGGAACAACCACAACAAATAACAACAAATAGCACAACACAGTCAAAGAGGACAAAGCAAAAACACATGGCAAGGCCGAAAAAGCCAACCCTTGGAGGACGGGTTCCTAAGTTTCACGCAGCTGGGGTACTCGGGTGCCGTACCCTTCTGGCAGCGCTTGGTCTTCGTGCCCGGCTCAGACGGGACCTTTGCGCAGCTCAGACGCAATGCAGCGGAGCCGCCCGATGATTCGCATGCACTCATTGCGCACCATGCAATTTTTGTGTTTCCTTCATGCCTCGCATAGCAACCCCGCGCGCCCTGCGTTAGATTGTTCGAGGCGGCTATTTTTCAACTAGAGGTTATATAATATTGTAAGGGGATTTTGGCGTACTGGGCCCAGATGGGGAATTGATGCACGTTCTCAATGTGGCTACGAAAGAAACCGTTTTGACCAGGTTTGGTCTGCTTGTGATGGTCTCAAAAAGCCTTTGCCATTGTTTCTGCCAACGGATGTTTGTCTTCCCTGGCGCTACTGAAGCCATTGGACCTCTATGGGCACCGACTCTCCAAACAAACACCATTTGCAAAAGAACAGGTTGGCTACTGGGAGTTTGGTTGCGACAGCGCGAACAGGCCCAAAAGCGGTCAAACCATACCGATACAATTTGGAATTGGATGTACTAAGTAAGCTATCCAAACGTGGCCAACTATGACCTAAAAGGGGCCTTGCGCGAAGTCCACCCTCGCAACTTGTTCCTGAAAGGAACGCAAAGGCTCTTTGCCATACCTGAGACTTGCAAGCTGAGGCAGAACTATCAGGACACCTGGGCTCTGCGGGTGGCGAACCTGAACCGATGGAAGGACGTTCCACTGTTCGCCTTGGTGTTTGGAAGAGGTTTTCTCATGCCCTAATGGGTCCGTGTAGGGGATGCCTTTATTATCCTTTATTCAAAAACCCAGTCAACACTCAGGGTCTCAGAAGAGTTCCAGGATTCTATTGCGAGGGACAGACTTTTGACCTCCGTTTGTGCAAATTGGCTACCCCTCCCAATACTGCATTTAGATCCCCTTCTGAATTGTTTTAAATTGCTGCCCCGTGTTAGCACCAACGCAGAGGGAAGGTGACGCGTGGCGACCTTTGTATCTATTTTGCACAGGCATTGCTCGGTATCAGTGGCTTCAAAGATTTGCCAAGCCTGCGACAATGATTTTGTCGAAGGGTGTTTTTTGTTGAGGCCCCCTGAAAAACATGACTTGCTTGAAGGGGCGCCATGAGTTTTGTTCAGCCGTGAGACCTTGGCGAATCAGATACTTCCCTCGGCTCAAGGACCCCTTCTTCTTGGACATCGGCGCCTTCAACGGGGTTTGGTGCTCCAACACAAAGCTGCTGGAGGAGATCGACTTGGGTTGTCAATCAAGGGACCGGTCCCGTTTGGGCCATGGTTCATGTGGGGCCTGCCTTTAGAGGGGTCCGAACAGGAGACACGCATTTTGACAAGCTTTCATTTGCATCGTTAAAGGTTAGGGGGGCCTTTCCGACAGTCAGAGATCTGCACAAAGGGCAGCGAGCTTACCACCAGGCAAACCGAGCTCACCTACAGTGAAGATCCTTGCGTGAGAATATGTTGTCTCCAATTGTCTGAATTTATTGTCTTTGAATGCGCGAGAGCCGCCAGAATGTAGTTTCAGAAAAGGAGCCACGGACAACTTGTCTGGCAGCATACTGCTACTTTGGGTAGGACATTCCTACAACCAGGGGCCGAGTCTTGTCATTGAGGGGAACAACATTGTCATTGATCCATACATGAGTTGTGTTTTCCGTTGCGGCGTCATGAAGTTGCCCCCGAAAGCATCAACAAGAAACTCAATCCTGGGCCCCCAAAACTGGGACCTGTTTGGAGCATAGATTACAAGGCTCGCCAAATATGGGTGGGCCATAACCCAAGATATGATCTTCAGCTGGGGCGGCACAAGCTGAGGTAGACCTTGTCCAAATTCATAGAATCTCGCTGGCACACCTTTTGGATTTTCGCGTTTGATGGCGCCCGTGGCCGTTGAGCGTGTTGGCCCTGCCGAAGCACGGGCTGTTTTCCCTACCATCTATTGCGTTGATGTGTGTGTGTGTGTGTCCTGTGTGTGTGTGTGTGTGTGTCTGTTTTTTTGTGTGGGTTCCTTTGTCAGGAGCGGGGCTGGACCGGCGCCTGCGTGGAGCCCTTTCCGGCCATGCCCCGCGGATTTTAAAAGCCACTTGATGTGGGAGGAAAGCCAACTGGCGCGACGGTTTGTCCATCACTCGGGTGGGTTGATGTGTCCAAATATCGCGCGTTTGTGTGTGCGTGAGAATGTTCGCAACGGTGTGTGCGCGTGTGTGTCATCTCCATCTACTCTAGTTGAGTTCTTTGTCGTCTTTCTTTTTGGTGTGTGTGTGTGTGCGCCTTCCATCCGTTTCCTGACCCAAGCAAAGCTTGGATTCATCACCCTCTTCCGCAGGATGCCGGTTCCACGGCCGAGGTTCGAAGGCCGCACATGCCAACTCTTCCCCAACGCAATGTCTGACACCGATGGCAAGAAGGCCCCGGTCCCGCGGGAAGCCGGGGGGTTCAGGCTGTGGCGGCCTTGGTTTTGCCATTACACTCTTGCAGATCAACATTCAAAATGTGATATCATATGTATACTGTATAACTGTATATATAACCAACGCCTCATTTTTAGAGGGATCCTTATTTAAATTTTTGTGGGGCCGGGACGGCGGGACCTCCCCTTGTTTGGGGGGGGACACCTCCCCCATTTGCAGGTGGACTTCGGGGGTTTGGGCCAGCTCCGGCAGATCCGCGGGACCTCCAGCGACGGGGTGGCGACCTGGCAGCACATGCGGCTGCTGGGAGGGAACCGGGACCGGGTCCGGAAGAAAGATGTCTAGGTCCCCCAGCTAGGTGCCGTTTCTCACCCCTTTCTTGGTTGGGAGGGTTTCCCAACTAAAATAAACTACAGAAAAAAAAGGGTACCCTCATTCTATCCTCTCTACTGGAGGACCTAGATGTCTTTTTTTACTTTGAACAAATTTCACCTGAGAAGTTTGCTTAACTAGTTCAGGTGGTATATTGTAAACACGCAGGCGCCAGAAGGTGAATCCGACTGCGGACGGGGTTGATTCGATGATAAGCGAAGAATCTCAGTGAAGCCAAGCTGGAAGCAAGGCAGCGTTGACCCCCAAACCAATAGAAACCTCAGCTGTTACTGCACTCACGCTTCCTGTTTGGTGGGGATATTCAGGCCACTCCAATTCTTCGAGGGACTACTCGAGACATCAGCTGCAGCCCCGAGAGCAGCTGAAAAGGGTCGCTGCCTCACAGCGGATCGATCCCGCCTGGTTGGGTCATCGAGTTTACTTAGCCTGGACCCCTAAGGGAAAGTATGGAAGTAAGTCGTTGGCGTAACCCTTTCGAGGATATGATGCCAAAAGCGCATTTTTGTTTTTTGTCCACGTTACTGGTCACGTTGCGACATTTGCCTGGGACTTTACGAATCAGGTTGAAGATTCATGTCGGTTTGGCTTCAATGCTGTTTGAGCAAGAGGGCGCCTCGTTGTTCTCTGGTAATATGACACCATCCTTGCCCAAACAAGGGCTTGCAGCTGAATTTGATAGCTATTGGCGGGAAACACCTAGCGCATCTCCACCTAAGTTTGTAGAGCTCGACAAAGTGCCCTTTGCGCCCATCTTCCAGATGGCGCCGACTCCCAGTGGTGGTTCTTCTCACCAGCACAGCAAAGGACAGTTCAACTCACTTTAGGGTCATTCGGGGGTTTCCCGTTTTTGGGACGCCTCGCACCACGAATTCGGTCAGAGCAATTCCATCTCAATTCCATTTGGGGTCCTTTGGGGCTTCCTGTTGGACGCCTCGCAGTTGGAGCGCGAGCTCTCAGGAGACCATCTCCTTCCCGGGGCTGCTGAACCGCACGCGGAGCCCGGGCTTCATCGCGCTGGTCTCGCTGGACGTGGAGGGCTTCGAGCTGCAGGCGCTGCGCCGCTTCCCCTGGGAGTCCTTCGAGGTGGGCGCCTGGCGCCTCGAACGCGCACGGCCAGTGGGGAGGGAAGTGGTGGGAATGGGTGGGAGGAGTGGTGAATATTTTTTTTGGGGGGTCCAACATGCAGGTCAAAGAAAAGACCCGTCAAATCCAGTGTTTTTGTTTTTCTGGTGAAAAAGGCAGGGCGGGGTGAGCTGAATCGAATTGGCACCAAACCCCCTTTTTGCTTTAGGTCCTTTTTAGAGCGCCCGTTGAGTTTGTACGGGGACGGAACCCAAATCCCAATCGGACTGGGCCGGAGTTCCGAGGTGGGCGGGTGAACACTGGAAGCTCAGGTTTGGTCACGGAGAGGTTGACCTACGAGGTTGCAATCCTCAGAATGTGTTTACTCTGTTCCTTCTGGTTTCCTTCGGTTTCCACAGCAGTTCCGCTGTTCAATGGCACACTTTCTACCCCAAGGCTGAACATGGGGAACTGGTTGGTGTCGACCGGCGTTCGATCCAAAAAGCCCGTGGGGCTCTTTATACCCAAAACTTGTCGCCGGTGTCAAGCCGAGGATCATCGAGACCTGGGGCGCCCCGCAGAGCAACCACTCGGATTTCCGCGCCAAGGGGTTGGAGCTGATCGCGCTGCTGGAGGCCCACGGCTACAGGCGCCGGCCCGTGCAGAACAACGGAGCGCCTTGCCTGGCGAAGACTGCAAAACCCCTTGGCACGCCTGAAGAAACAGATCCGGGGTCTGGCGAACCTCAAAAAAGTTTGTGAGGTTGTAAGGCTCGCTAGCAAGACAAGCTGAAGCAGGCCTCGGTACTATTGAGAGGGCTACAGAACAAGCCAGACCAAGCACTGACACTAAAAATACCCTGGCCGAGATGAGTCAAATGGTTGCAGAAACCAATACCCCAACGAAAACAGGTTGCAGCTAAATCACAATGCTCTTTGATCAGCTTGCAAGCATACCAAGTACAGCGAAGCCGGTTGTGAAAATAACCATCGCTGTCATACCAACATCGGCCATGACCAATGTATCTCAATTTTCAGGGGTTAAACAGTGTAATTTATCCGTGGATGGGTTTCACATATTCGTTCAATGTGCTGTTGGGCTCATGATAGGCTCCCGCGTTTATGGGCCTCTGCTGTTGATGTTGCCAGAAATGGGCAAGGCACACCCAAGACTTGTGTCCTTTCTTTGTTGTTTTCTCTGAAACGTCATCCAACATGGGGGGCTCTTCATTGTAAGAGAGCTCGTATCTAGGCTATTATTTTCCCTGATTTGAGTGGAACCGGTCTTGATTGACAAACATCGAGGGAGTCGGCGTGTTCCTCAGTGACCCCCGTTTTTTAGTAGTTGTTGAAGGGAGCCCATGATCGAGCGAGAAATGGTTCCCTTTGCTAGGGAAGTCTTTCATGCTGAACCCACCAGGATCTTAATTTGGCCATGAAACATCCCCCACCCGGACATGGAATTGGCTACCCCCCGCACCGCCCAATCCCCCCGTCGTTTGGTACCGGGGATGGTCTCAGGTGGATGAGTACTTCATCCGAGACAGGCGGGCGAAAGTGGGGCTGGAGGTTCACACCTGCGAAAAGCGAAGTAATATGGCTGTGGCGGTCAGAACCGTGTTGGGATCCCATTTTGGGTTGGTAGGTGAAGTCACCACTCATGTTAGAACCTATTCTAGTGGGGATTGGGATGTTCACTGGGGGGATTTGGATTTTGACCCATGGCCATATCCCCACCGTCTCAAAAGTGAAGTGGGAGGAGTGCACCAACAAAAACCCAACCCTATTTCTGGAGGTGGGATCCAACATGAACCGATCCGCTCTGAGCTTCGCCTTCGATCTCCCAGAGTTGCTTTCAAGGGAATCAACCACAGTCAGTTCGTCAAGTACTTCCTGAGAGGTTTCCTTCTGCAGACGTTTTTTTCTTCTTTTTTTCTGGGTTTGTCTCAGAATAGATTGTTTTCCTTTTGGCTTCCCTTCAAATCAACCCCCAAACAGTACCCTCAACACAGAGACACGCCGTATTGGCAGCCGTTTTTGCAAAATGTGCACCAATCCGTCTCCCTGTTGTTTTTTTTGGTACTCTTTAAGTACTCTGTTGTGATATGGCTATGAAGTTCAATAGGGAACCTCCTCACAATTGGGAGGTCGACATCAATCCCCACCTAGATGCTGACCAAGGGGTAGGCAAATCTCATAGCCTTCTCCAGTTGGCCAAAAGGCGCATCCATTCTGCTTTATTTGGGGTCAATAGTGGGTGTATTCCCAGGGTGCAATACCAAAACCCTTAGATCCATCCAAATGCTTCGCTGCTTCCCTTGGCTTCCCTTTGGCTTGCCAGGTGGTGGCACCCAAGTCTGGCGGAGCACAAGCTGCGGCAGCATCCCAAAGGGTCCCATGGCTGTTGAGGCGGCAGAACCTCCGGGGGGCTGACATCGCGGCCAGGTGGGGTGTGGGTCCAAACCGTTTTGGGATCCCAGTTTGGGGTTGTCGGTGCACCCACTTTGGACGTTGATTAAGGGGACACCCAAAGGAATCCAAATGTCAATAGGAGTTCACTTCCTGTAGAAGACGGCCATAGATGGATTTGACGGCATCGCTTCTGGAGTTTCCCTGGACCCTAAGGCAGAATCCAAGTCCAACCTTGGGCTCAGACACCCGGCCGGGCCTTCTGATTGGAGCTCAAAGAGATCTTCATGTGCTGGAAATGGGAAGACTCCCAGAAGAGCTTTCGCGATCAGGAGAGCCAGCATGGAACTCTTAGCGTCCTCTAGCGTGGAATGCCTTGCTTCGAGGAGGACATTTTGATGCATCGCAAAACCACAGCCGGGACATGTCGACGGCATGGGATTGAGAACCTGACCTGCCCCGGATGAGTAGGAGTCTTGCAAAGTATGTCTACGCATCGCAAGATTGCCTCGCACGTAGCCTTACGGCAAAGTCAACCGGCAGGGCGGCAGTGTCGACAGCCGATGAATCTTCTGCTAGGAGCTCTGAAGCCGGGTTGGCCACGTCACATAGAGTTGGCCCAACCCGGACAGCTGGGCCTTGGGCAAGCTTCGTGCGGCAGCGGGCAAAAGAAATTGCGCGACGGGGCAGATGGGCCTATTTCCTGAACAAACCGTAGACCTCGAGGAGAAGCCGAAATGGTGCTGTCGAACAAAGAACAGGACAGAACTGTTAAGCCGTTGGCTTTGTTCTTCGGCCTTGTTAGATCTTGTTGATGTTGTGTGAGTTGGATCGTTCTGGGAGTCATAACACAACAGATTCCTTGTGGTTTTGGTTTCGGACACTTTACAAACCAGGAGTTTGGAGCCTGGAAGCCACTCGGTCGAGAGTCCAAGTCTGTACACATACACATAATAAACAAACACCAACCAGCGAGCGAGGGAGCAAGCAAACAAGCAAGCAACCAAGAGTGCAGGCAGGCAGGCAAGCGCCACACAGGAGACACAGACCAACATGCATATACACAGACACACACACACACACACACACAGAGACACACACCCACAGAGACACACACACACACACAGACACACGTACACACACAGACGCAGACACAGACGCACACACACACACAGGCAAACACCCACGCACGCGCGCACGTGTGCGAGCGCGCCTTGGTATTTGCACTGAAAGCCAAAAGTTGGGGACAGTTTGCCCTAAAGCTTCCTTGCAGGCACCCGTGCCCCCAGAATTGTTTGGAATGGAGTCTCTCGGACGTGTGCCAGAGGTCAGCGGTCCCTAATTAGGCATTCTAACAATTTGAGTGTAGTTGAGCTCAATGAACTTTTCAAGGATCCATTGGCAGGAGTTTGATCAACTTGCTTCCCTGCGTAAAAGGGGAGTCTTCCGGTTTTCAATGCGGGAACGATGGGACAGGCTTTCCAGCTGATGACTCTGAGGGGGCTGCCGGCAGTTCGGGGCCCAGCGTCTCCGGTCTCTAGGAGCTTATTGCTTTCGGATGCTTTCTGCCAGCTTTCGCGTGTGAGAAAGCTGTATATATCTTTTGTGATCGTTGCATAGAGACCAAAGTCTGATTCTGATCAGGGAGATGCCAATAAGCGGAGCGGAGCACAGCACCCAGATATTTTACTGCTGGCAAGGTGCCATCTATGTTCACGCTGCAAGTCTGACATTGGCGTGGTCAAATGCCCGTTGCACAACTAGATGCCTCAAGCAGTCCAAGGCAACCTAACTTGACCGTATCTGCAAGACACCGCTGCCAAGCAGTCTAACAGTTAACATTTAATCTTACCCCTCCCCAGGATACGGCATACACAAACACGTGATCGGATCTTTTTGAGGGCCACCCGACACCCGGGTGAGTTGGTAGACGGCACGATGCCCCTATCTGGGATGACGTAGGGGACTTGGATATGTTTCGTGATTGGTCGGTGCCTATGCACACAACATTCATCGAGAATGCCAAAGCCTGAAGCCAACCACTGTGGGGCAGGATGGTGCCATAACCCGATAGCTTCCGATGAATCACTGAGAGATACTAGGCACCAATCCTCTCAAGATCTATCGTGATGCCTTGCATTTTCCTGCTCGCATCCCAGGTGTGAGTGCTGAAAAGGATGCCAAGGACTTCCAAGTTGCGGGATCGTGTGCGGGATGCAGAGCTTGTTGTACCCTCTCCCCCGGCCTGGGGAGGCTTTTTCTTAAATTTTATCCACCGAACGAAGGGCTCCCCGTTTTCCCCTTCCACGGGAAGCTGGCGGGCACAGCTTTGATACACTATGGATCTTGCTGCTGTACCATGTCGCGCCAGCCGTGTCAGCTCGCTGCTTTCCGGGAAGCCTTTCTAGATTGCAAGTGAAGGGCCATGAAGGGCCTATGTATCTCATGATGCATGTTCCACTCATGAGTATTTCGGGCGGACCATGACAAGCATTGTTATTTCACAGCGAACCATGACCTTGCCACGGCAAACACGAAGAATCATTTCCTTTAGTCTTCTTAGATCCAACAAGTTCGCAGCCAAGCCGAGCGCCAGGCAAAGCAGGAGCTGCCATCGAGTCACACCGCCCGAGTTGTACATAGCCCGAGCCCGAGGACCGGACGGGACGCTGAGTCACTCGCTCTTTTCACTCACCCAAATTGAACGAACGAACCCATTTCGCGTTGATTATAACCCATTCACCCAAATTGAACCCAATTGAATTCTCCAAATGAGTTTATCACCCAAATTGATTCAGTTGTCACCAATTTATCACCCACTGAGTCACTCTCTCTGCCTGGGAACGCGTTTGCGTTTCCCAGAACCACTCGCCGCAAGGAATCGCCAAGCGCGTTTCGGGTTGAAACGTTGCCTTTCGTTTTGGCGTTTTGGATCCAATCCGAACCCGCGCGGCGAAGGCGTGACCAAACTCACCCGTTCTGTTGGAACTATGTCCACTAAGCAAGTGATTTACTTTTGTAGAAGGTCAGTGTGACCAACCCAATCAGCAGAACTGGCAGGACTAGTTCCCTGCTTTTGTTTGGAGGGGATCAGGATTTTCAAGCAAGTGAAACTCAAAGTACATGATAATATGCTGCGAAATACCAGGAGCCCAGTGTTTGACAGCCAGAATAGCCAGACGAATGTCGTGGTTGTCGTTGCAGTCAGCAGATGTCAAATGTGCTAACCCAACCGACAGATCCCAGTCCCAGTCAATCCACCAGTTGCTATTTGTCAGGAGGTGTTTGCATCATGTCACTGAGTGCCAGATTGCCCAGAACTCTCCGTTCCAAGCCAACAAGTGGATGCCATCACATCAAAACCAACGGCACGTTCAAGAGAGTGACGAGCTCAAAGGCTTCAACGCGCAAGGGCCAGCCACCCGCGCGCCACCGTCGAGGTCCGCCTAAAGCCAGCCATGGCCACAGCAAGCGGCAGCGGCCGCTTGGCAGGGAGACAGAGGCTTGGGGACATTGAAGCATGATTATAGATAGTGTGTGAGGTTTAACCTTCATTGTGTCGAGGAATTTGATGAGCGGGATTCCATTTTTTCTGGTTCAATTTAGTTGGTGAGGCTCAATCGGCATGTTGTGGAAAAATCAGTCAGATCAACATGTTTCAGGCGTACTTAGGCGATTCATTTTGGATGCCGGTTGTTTGGTCCCAGCTTTGAAGGCATGCTACCCGAAAAGCCATGAGGTGATCATCATGTCATGATTACTGGACCTACCGGACATCACGCTTTTGAAGTATTCTTTATCGAAATCAGTACCCAAGTACTGTTCATATTACTGCCTGATTCATCATTTCTCACTTCGTCACATCGTCAGAGTTCTTTGTTCCACATCATTTGTGGAACTTTTCAAGACATGTCCTGAGACACTCATCATCATGTTATCACACAATACTGTGCAAGACAGAACCAAGGCCCGAGTGTGGATCAGAGAAACCAAAAAGGAAGTTGGCCAATGTGATATTGGTTTTTTAGACTACCTGTTTAGCCCCCAGATTCCCTGGGACGACACTTGTGTTTTGCCTAACAGAGCTGTCGCTATGTCTGAGCCAATGGAGGATGCTTTCCCTTCCCACAAGCATGGAACCCACCAGGCAGCCAAGGGAGACTGCCGGAGCCAGCTTTCATTTTCAGACTGAGTCAAGACTTTAGTGTCTTTTTGAGACATACGAGGGTTGTTTTGAAGGGGCATGCACAAGGAACCCACCCAACTCAGGGGTTACAGCGTTTAGAGACACGCCGAGCTGTATCCACGGTGTAAGACAGCAGATGGCTATCAGCTGACGGCTGCGATGTGAATGCCCGAATCGAGGTTGAATGCTGGAGCCCAGGCTGGAAAGGGGGCGTTCGGGAGGAAAAGGAGTACCGAATGCCTGTCACATGGCCGGTGAAATTTTGATGAGGATGCCTGTCACATGACCTTTTGACCTTTTGGTTTCCACGGGTTGGTCTAGTTTTAGTCACCCACCAAAAGTTATACTTTTGGCGGGGGATCTGAGGGCAGCCCAGAAAGTTAACCTTTTTTTTTTCTGGGTCCTTTTGCACGACTGAGTGAGAGGGAAGTAGTCATGTCCAGGCCTTGGTTCGGGCGGAGAGAGAAGACGATGGCCCTCCGCCGCCGCAGCAGGCGGGAGGCCCAGTACTGTAAAGATAGAGATTACCTTGGTGGCTCCCAGCTAGGTGCCCTTTCTCACCCCTTTTTTGGTTGAGAGGGTTCCCCAGCTAAAATGGACTACAGAAAAAGGGTACCCTTTATTCTAACCGCTCTACTGGAGGACCTAGTTACGTACTCATCAAATTCCCATGTCGGGAGCCACGGTCATTCAAGGCACAATGAATGACTGTGGCTCTGATCAAGAGACGAAAATCTCCTGGTAGTCAATTCTTGCAGCCGGACACCGCCGGGGTGGGAGGGTCTTGGCTGGGGGGGGACCTGCCCATGATTTATCGCCCGAAATGTGGTTGTTCGCTGTAAGTGCTTGGTCGGTCGTACCAAATCCACGCAAGGGCCCGGGTTGCAACAGTTCCAAGACAGGCTCCTAGTTTTGCATAGCATCCAGCCACATGGTGAGAGTTCCCTCGATTCTGCCAAGCATGAAGGAGGTTCCCGAACGGCATCAGAAAATGACACCGGAACGAGCAGATCCCAAATGGCAACGGGAGTTTGTATCAACTGCCACTCGCTTCCACTAAGGATGTCGTTTCTCTATTTATTTTGTTCGGACCCCGCGTTTTTTGGGATTCTGGCTGTCGCAAGTGGGGAACAAGGGCTTACACACCTGGCTTTCCGTGTGGCAAAGGCCATGCGCTGCTCATTGATCTGACCCGTCCTTTTGGAACTCGACACGTCCCCCCGCTGGCAGCAAGTTATCAGCATGTATCATTTAGGCTGAGTTTGTTCAGCCGTTTTGTTGTTTTGCTCACGGATTGCAATGAATTACAAGTGACAAAGTACTCAAGAGAACATGGCGGGTGCCGAACCAAAAAGCTGAGGTTGCAGAAGCATATCGAGTGCTAGCGCCTCAGCACTGGTCCTCTACATGGGATCTGGCCGTCGGAGTTCGACTTGAGCCGAGGTTGGGCGGCCAGACCATAGATGTTGGACTCCTAAGAACTTGGTGGATGCATGTTTGGTGCTTCATTGCAAAGACAATCTGGCTGCTCCGAGCCGTTCCCCAAAGAAACTCATCAGACCGGGGTGGAACATGGGCCAACGGCTTCCTTGGGCTTTCCCAGGACCCCAACTTCCTGCTTGGAGCAGCCGTTTTCCTTGAAATCCAACGCGGACATGCGTCTGGGAACGCTGGAGGTCACCGTTTGCCGACAGGATCAAAGTAAAAAAGGCTACTCGTCCGGGTTTTGACCGGCTTTCTTGTGTGGCCTGCGTTTTGGGGGACCCCCTTGTTTTCGCTTCGATCCTCCCCGTTGCCACGGGGGTTACACGGCCCACTCCGCCACCCGAGGCTGGACCTGCCGCTGCGGGCCTCGCGGGCGGAGGTGCACCGGAAGAGCCGCGCCTTAGCGAGGAAGTGGCACCCGGACAAGGCCGAGCCTCGGAGCAGTGGAGGGTTCCACGTGGTTCATCGGGTATGTTCTATTATAGTTCTAGGGGTACCTTCCATTCTTTCCAGGGATCCTTCTTTCTAGAAAGCCTCCGGAATCGCAGGGAAAACGGCTGGTTTTTGAAAAGAACCATGGTTGAAAAGAATGGGGAATCAACCCCTAGAATAGTACGTAAGGGTGATACTAAGGTTTGATTCTGGGTTCCAGTAGTTTCATCATAGGTTCATTGGGCTGGGGGAGGTACGGTGGATGATAACCTCGCTATGATTGGGTTCATGGTGGAACTTGAGGTCTATGTGGGTGTGCTTCTTTGAGGGTACTTTTTTTGGTGTAAAGAAACCACAGAAAGCACGCCATGTTGAGGGCGTTCCTATTTGTGGGGGGGGAACATGTGTCAGTGCCCTTCTTTATGGCAATTTGGCTTCCAGAGTTGGAGTCTGCACCTGCAAGAAGGCCGCGCCCAAATTGAGGCAAAAGGCAAGTGCCCTTTGAAGAGAGTGCCACTTGAATGGACCCAGCTTTGGGCACCCAGCAAAGGTGTGGAATGTTCAGGCACGTATTCTCCGCCCACGAGGGACAAAGTTTGTTTACAGCCCCCTGCAGATTCACGTAGAACCCAACCTTCATTTGCAGAAGCATCTCCTTGCTGGGCAACCCTTGGATTCCATGTGAGTTTGCAGGCCACGGAGCCCTGAAGAGCAAGCTCAAGGATGTTCAAAGGGCGGGGCTTTGCTGAAGAGCCAGAGGAAGGATCTGAGGGACTTCTTATGAGAGAAGTTACCTATTGGACGCCCGATGTCATTAAATGAGGTCTCACAGCTAGCAAACGAACAAAACAGCTTTTGCATGGGGTTCGATGAGCCAACGCCACGGTAGGCGCTGCCTGACCAAAGAGTGCGCCTGCTTGACTTTCGCCCAAATCGGCTTTGATTGAAGGTGCATGCTTGAAAAGCTGTGGGGCTGGTTGGGCGGTTGGTGGGCTGGTGGATGACCACAGGTCAGGGCGGCACGGGCCGCAAGGATGCAGTGCCTGATCGTGGTGAACCCCCTCTGAGTTGGTTTCTAAAGGCAAACCCACAGGAGGAACACCAATTTTTTGGGGTCCCGTATTTTTGGGCAACACCCAGGCCCGGATTCCGATACGGAACATGGGTAGTCGCGAGGCGACCAGCACTGTAGCAATATCATGGTTTCAGACAAATGAGACAATTGGTCTGCTTCTGGATCGGGACTAGGCAAAATGGCTGGCAATTGGAGCATGGGCCTTCCCTTTGAAACGGGTCATCGTGTCGAAGCAGGTGGCAAGCCTGGCAAGCCCAGATGGATGTATCAGACGATGGGATTCGGTAGTTTCACAGCCTGCAAAGCCCCTTAGATGCCTCTATTTGTTAAACAAGGAAAACCGGCAAGTTCTCAAGAGAAGCACCCCTAGAGACTGGTGAGTGTACTGCTTGAAAGGCAGCTCATGTTATGACATCGCCCAAGTGGAACTTTACAAGGCACCTGGAGGGTCCTGACAAGTTGTTGAAACAACCAAACCGCCGTCCCCTTCAAAGGTAACCCAACATGCGATATGTTCAATATGCTCAAACGTGTTTGAACAGGTCGTTGGCCCAGTCCTGAAGCGATCTTCTAGTGTTTCCAGTTCTCAGAGCATCTCTTGTGCTTTTTGAGGGCTCCGTCGAGGTTGTCGGTCGCTCTGTTAGACGGCGAAGCATTGTTGGCCCGTTGGACATGCGAAGTGGGCTTAGATTGCCAATGGTTTGTACCAAGGAAAAGTCCGCAAGCGAAGCCATGGGACGTTCTGGTTCCCAAATTCACAAGCCGAATAAAAATCTGGCCTGTAGGTACGCGCCACACGGGTCTTCCGGCAACTGCAGGATGCTAAGGCGGAACCAGCCCGCCGTTTTTTTGTTTCTTTTCTTGCGGGGAGAACAAGGGGCCGCGAGTCGTTCCTGGGGTTGGTTGGGCAGGGTTTGGTTGGTGTAACACTATTTTTTTGGAATGAGTGGCTAGATAGCTTGTTAGGTGTTTTGGATGTTCAGGAGTGTTTTATTGGTGGATATTGGTGGTCCCCACACATTGAGATTGCTCCAACCCTCAATTCCAGGGACAGGGCTCTTTTGAGGGTTGGACCTGGTAGCGCTTGCCTACCCACCCGCTGTGTCATGCAATACACGCTCTCAATTTGCACTGTCTTCTCCTACAGATGCGGCTTTGTTGTTTGGGACTGAGCCAGGTATGCATGCACAAAGGATCCACTATGGATTGACTAAGGGACCACCTATTCCCTTTATTTTCTTTTTCATCAAGATAAGACTGCAAAGGGTCCAACCGGAAACGCATCCCCTTTCTTAAGAACAGATATAATGATATGTCATCTAAGCATCCGACAGAATGATTGATGTCACAGTTTGCAAGGATCGATGCCTGTTTTGAACTGGTTGAGGTTTGATGGTCCCGCCATCTGCGATACCATGGGGCAGGATCTCCCCGAAAGGATCCCGACGTATCGGGATATAGTGGCCAAAAAGGGGCGCAACTCATGAGGCCCAGTGGAGATCTTGGCGCTCAGGGCTTGAAGAACTTTCTTTGGACAATGAGCTTTGGTCCTAAAATTCCCAAGAACCTGCAACACCTGTCTGGAACGAATTCGCTCACATGCCAAGATGCGAACGGAGGGGTGCTTATCTTCCACCCCAATCTGTTGATGTGAGCCCTGATTTCAAACACCCTGTGAGGTGGGCAACGGACTCACCGAAGTTGGGTGTGCTTCACTTTCAGCCATGGGCAGAAGTGAAAGTGTCACGGTTGACGCGCATGGCCCCATGGAAAGTCTTGCCCACGAAGTTTGGCGGCTCGCCAGAAGCTCAGGGGGTGATCCTTTCATGGCTGCAGCAGCGGCAAGTGCCGCAGATGGACGAGCCGCTCGGACCTGGATGACGGCCCATTTTGAAGCTGCTAGGGTTTATATAGGCTTCTCAGAATCCACTTTTGGATGGGCCAGAATAACACGAGCCAAGCTCCAAGTGAACGTCTGCAAGTGGTTTTTTGTGTTCTCTGAGGACCCTGTCGTAGGGAATGGTCCGACCCCAAGTGCTCCAAACCAAACAAACCTTTGTCCCAGTCTCCTTTTGGATGGGCGGGGATTGGTCAACTACTGTAGTCCATCGCGAAGATCGCGTGGTTTTTGTCCGGTGTCGCTGGCAGGTGCGACATGTCCATTTTGAGCTACATTAGTCTTGTTGGTTGCCAGTGTCTTCTTTTGGGGGGATATATGCACAGGGGGGATAGTCGGATAGATAGCCTTGCTTTTCCATTCGCTGTTGGGAAACTCCCAGTGGCCCATTGTCTGGATCGACCAAATTTCGGCCAAGGGCGAGGTGGTTAAATCAGCAACTCGAGCTCCACCTGCTCCAGGTCAGATGAGTCACTGTGTTTCGATAGCGATGACTTTGACGAGGACAATAGGCGCGGTAGCCGCATCCCGAAGCTCCGCAGTACCTGATGAGTAAACCCATTTGCTCGTTGCTCGCCATCTTTGGGGCGGCGTTTGGGTGCAATGCTATGGCAATTGCAGGTGCCATTCATTAGTTGGGATTGCAAAGTAACCTTGCACGAAACACACACACACACACACATGCAGATCCGCAATAATTATGCCGGTGATGTGTTTTTGCTCAAAATGATGTGCTTCATGGGTTGACCATGGATCAACCGCACATGGTCGGATTGAACAAAGCAATAGCACACGCACGTGTATCTCCAAATTAGCCTCAGGCAAGACCCACACTTGGGAGACGACTCGGAAAGCAGCATGCACATGCACATGATGGTCATATGTGGACAAATGCTCACTCCCTCAGTTTCTGGACTTCAACTCTTTGGGAAGACCATTCTAGCGGCAAACAGACAGTTTGTTTTTCTTTGCCAATCCATTTCAGGAAGTGAGAATTGGTCCGGCCCTTGGTTGGGACGTTATGCGGTACACATCACCCTGTTTTCTACCCTCGATGGGGCCTATAAGCCGACCGTTTGGAGCGCGGCCCTGCCCTTGGTTCATTCGCTATGTTCCCGCTGAACCTTTTTTTGCTTCCAGGTGTTGTTCCAATCAAAAGGGAGGGTCGTGATGGTACATTTTGTGTGGTGATCATCCTAAGAATATATAAGTAATTTTGTGGACAAACGACAGCTTCCCCACTCGCAAGCAGAAGCACTTGCGCAGCGAGGCCCTCTGACATTGTCTTCGGTGAGGCTGGTGATGTGCCTTGGAATGAAATTTGCGTGAGCTCGATTTGCCTGACGTCTCCTTTGGGCACTGAGCCGCATTCCTCAAAATGTAGCAGCCCTGTTTATAAGCCCCAGATATGCCGCAAAACGGAAACAGGTGGTCAGACGGCAATCTTCAGCATGACTGCGTAGGTTTGTGTGTCCATCCGTGTCATGAACGGATGGGACTGTCAGCACCAGGTGACATTTGCGTTTGTTTCCAGCAACTCGCATGAGGTCATGGCCGAGTTCGAGGAGGATTGCTCCCAAAGCGAGGAGGAGCGAGAGGAGCAGAAGGCAGAGACTTGGAAGTGGCGGGCTGGATGCGTGCGCGCGCCGGCGTGAAATTGTCATATCGGTGGTTTGGATTCGTTTGGGGAGTTGCGGATTGGCAACCGGGTCAGTTTGAGGATTCCCCCATATTTCTACTTGTTTCAGATGTTGAGACAAATTCATGCAGTCTTCGCCAATGACTGAAGAAACCTTTTCATCCTTTCACAATTGTGTCAGTTGAACAATGTCATGGTCGCTTTTTTGGTGAATGTCGTGAATACTGCGACTTGAACCTTACATGACAGTTGTGTTTCCCAATTCACTAGCCGCAAGCGAGCATTTACATCCTACTGAGCTCCGTCACAGAAAGGTCGGATGCAGTGAGACACGTTGTCTAGTGGCATTGGTTCTCTTGTTTTGTTGAGTGTGTTTTCTGTTTTGACCCAGCCAACGAGCGGCTATAGTTGCTTGGGATAATAAGCATCGTTATTGCAAGTCATCACCATGTCTTTTTCTGATTTGCCGGTTTTTCCTTTTGGATTGGGATCTCCATTTTGAAGGATTCACAGTCCTGGTCAACAGACTTGCTTACTTTGGGCTAGCAGGGATGCAATGGGGTCCTGGAACTTGGGGGCTAGACATTCCTTGAGGCCTCATGACCCTCAAGAGTCTTGAACATCATTTCTCTTTTAGCTTAGGGGCGTTTGCAGACGTGGCAGACGTGGCATATGACAAATTGATCGAAAGAACTGAGCTACACAGCCCGAAAGCACTAGGGACACAGAGATGAAAATGACCCACGCAGGGGTAGGGGGTTGCTTGAAGGTCAAATCCCTTGCGTTGTGTGGGGTTCCCTCGAATGTCTACTGTTGACCCCTGATTGAACCTCCCATTTGCTCGTTGTTTTTGGGGAGGAGTTCCCGCTATTCAAAGCACTCTGCGGGAATTGATCGGATGGATGTTTTTGCCTCGCCGTCGCGGTCAGGCAGCTTGCGTCTACCGGGCCAGGGGAGATTCGCCGGAGACAACCACCAGCGCCTTGGCACGGGTTCGGCCCAGTCTTTGGCTTGTATCCTCGTTTTGAGAGAATTCCCGTCGTCTCTTTTTTGGTCCAAGGCTCTTTGCTTCTTGAGAGGACTCATGTCATATCTCAAATGCTTCAAGGCAAAACACCGCAGGCGGGCAACGTCCAACCCGGTTCGGGTCGGTGGTGGTTAGGGGATATTATAATATTCCCAATCGGAAACAGAGGTCGCCGATCCTCCTTGCATGATGGGTAGATCTGAAGCCAAAAGCCATGCACGGGCCCTTTGCTTGTGGCTGTGCCACCCGAAAGCACAGCTTGTACGTACTGGGAGAACCTGAAACAGAAAACCAAAGCAAGTGGTTGGGGTCCCCTCGACTGCATTTGCTCGACCGCAAACTGATTGATTTTTTTGAAGCCAAGGCGACGAGGAGAGCGCCGACGCGAAGGCCAGTTCTTTCGAAGGGACCACGGTGTTGTCAAAATGATTTAGTCCCTGGTTGGGACAATTGGCACGTGGGGTTGAAATCGAAGCTTCCAGGTCTCCACCTTCGAAATTTGCTTCTTCAGTGCGTTGTCTTTGGCTTCCCTTTGATCCAGCCCCAAAAAGGGAGGCACTTCAACCCTTTCGCATCCCCCAAACATCAGCCTCGAAGGGTACCTGGAAATGCTCGCCCACTTCTGCGAGAGCCCGCCTCTCAATTTGCGCAGGCTGAGGCGGCGCTCGCTCTTCGGAGCCGCGGCATCATCCGCACGCAGGAGTTTGTTGGGCAGGTGGTGGGTGTTATTTGTTTTTGGAGGGGTATTCATTTTAGGTTTTTTTTTTTAGTTTTTTTTCCCCGCTTTTGGCTTCTTGGCTTCTTGGCTTCTTGGTTTTTCGGCTTCTTGGCTTTTCGGCTTCTCAGCTTCTCGGCTTCTGGGCTTCTGGGCGTTTCGGCTTTTTGCTCTTTTATGCGGCTTTTGGTGGCTTTTTGGCTTTTCGCATCCTCTGCATTCTTAGTTCCTCTTCGGCAGGTGGCGTTTTGGCTTTTGCGGCTTTTCGCTGGTTTATTATTGGTTTTTGGATTTGGCTTCCCGCATCATCAGCATCACCACCACCTTATTTGACATCATGGCGGGGGAACCCCCCCCCCAACCCACCCGCTACTGTTTAGATTGTTTGCAGAGTAATTGCACCCCTATTTGAATCAAGTCTTCTTCAACCATCATGGGGGGGGTTGCCGCCTCCCCCCCGTTACTTTTTAGATTTCTTGCAGAGATTGAATAGCACCCCTGTTTGAATCATCACTTTTTCGAGCGTCCAATGTCTGTATGTATGCATTTCTTCGAACATCATAGGGGAAGCCACCCCCGCCAACCCTCCCGCTGCCTTTTAAATTCTATCGCACCCTTTCTTGAATCATTGCACCTCATCACTTCTTCCGACATCATGGGGGGGGCGGAAGCCCCCCAACCCCCCCGCTACGTTTTAGATTTTCTCAAGAGATTTAATTGCACCCCTAGTTGAATCATCAATTCCTCGAACGTCACGGGGGGGCTGCCGCCCCGCCCAACCCCCCCCCGCTAGTTCTTTGACTTTTTGCAGATATTTTATTGCACCCCTATTCGAATCATCACTTCTGCGACCATCATGGGGGGGCCTGCCGCCCCCCCCAACCCCCCTGCTCTCTTTTGATTGAAATGCCCTCCTGTTTGAATCATTAGGTTTTTTTACCCCGTCAACCCGCCAGCTACTTTTGGGATTTTGTTACCCACGATTTGTTGGTGATGCTAGGGATGTTGGTCGGACATGCGGGGATGTTGAAAACGATGCTGGGGATGTTGACGGGCTAGTATAGAATGCGTCAATTTCGCGAGAAAATGCTGTAAAATACAACATTTTACTGGCCCGGAAAACAAAACAAAATCCGCACCCGTTGTTTTTGCCGAGGTGTGTGTGTGTATGTGTGCGTGTGGGCGACAGTGTGTGAATGGGCGAAAGTGCGTGAATGTGTGTGTGTGTGTGTGTGACGTTGCTTGCTGTTGTTGGCGCATTGGAGTTTTTGTACATACTTCACCTTTTTGTGGGTTTGTGCGGGTGTGTTTGTGTTTAGTGTGTGTGTGTGTGTGTGTGAGTGTGTGCCAATCATGAGACCAACAGAGTCCCGCTCTCACAAATACACTCATCCCCGCCAACCACAATAAACATGTGGCAAGCCTACATGTACAGACATGTACAGAGGGCTCAGTAAGACCATATTGCTCCATACTTCAAGGGAGCCATTCATGGCGGATCACCATATAAGTGTGACAAGTGATAAACCAAAACTAGGCAACGACCTATCCAAAAAGCATATGCCGGTTTCAGACTTGTTGCCTTTGAATACCAATCCCAAAGACATTCAACAGTCTTGCCACCTTTCCATGTATAGGTGGACGGCTGCATTTCCGGCTTTGCAGCCGATCACGTGTCATGTAAATATGTTTTCAAAGGGGCACTGAACTTGAATCAATAGGTTTTTGCTTGTACCCTTACCGGTTCCCCTGAAAAATTATGCTATATCTTTTGATGTTTTTCGTCTTGAACGAGTACTGTCCATTTTGGTTTTGTGTACGACAGCACGTGCAGTTTGCAGGTTGCCAAACAAAGTGTTTGGAAGCCTGAAAACCACATGCTGCCTGAGGGGATCCGAAAAGTGTTTCCTTATTCGCATGGCATGGCCCATATTCCAACGTTCAAGCAGGGTATGGTTGCCCCCTCAAAGCGGTTTTCTTTCTCACCTATGCCAAAATGTTCCCTCGGGATTCGGCAAGCTACCTTCTTCTCGAAATCTATGACTCCCCGAAAAGCGATGCTTGATGGCGTGCAAAGAGGGCATGGTAAAACCCTGACCATCCTAGTCAACTGCACCCTCAGGATTCGGCGCTGGTGCAGGCGACCGCGCCGGGTGGGCCCAGTGCAGACCACACATTTTCCCGCCGGGATCATGGAATCACTGCCTAGCATTTGTTTCGTTTGGATTTTCATGGCCTGCAAGGTTGTGCGCTTAATGTCTGGGTCGTTTGGATAGGTGAGAATTGCGACCTTGGATGTTGCTTATGGCCCCGCCCCTTTACCTAACCATGATTGCTGGCGATGTTATTGAATGTATGAATTTGTTTTGCGGCAAGGGAAGGGAGCAGTGTTGCTGAAACTTCCGCAGCTACAACCCGCTCTGATTGATCGAGCAATCGGAACAGTTCGCCAAGCATTGAGAGCCTTGGTGCGGAGTGATATTGGACATAGAACAGTAAAATTACGCATTCCTCAATTTTGAGGAGCAGCTGCAAAAGGGGCTCCTTGGGTATTTCGCAATCCAAATAAATATCAGCCATGCGAGAGCCATTGTCATCATATGATCTACAGCATGCAGCGCTGCCTTTCGTGCGGCACGCCAATAGCATCCAACAAGTTCTTGAGAAATGGATCTTGAAATGCTGCAGCTGCACCAAGCAACCAACCACGCAGTTCAATATTGGGTCTTGGAGGGTAGCCTTTTTCGGGCATGTTTTCGGGGCTGTTTAGTATGGACACTTCAGGAACCCCGCCTTTCGGGTGGGTTCCCCTGTTTTAGGACAAAGAACAATTGGCAGTCCGCCGCCTGAGGTTGAGCCACTTCATGTCGGCTCCAAAGTCACGCGTAGAGACCTGCACAAACCTCAGAGTGCCGCGTTCGGCGAAGAGCTTCAGTCGGCTGTGAAGAGCCATGCGTGGAATCCGCTGAAAAGGGCCCAAAAAGGGCCTTAGGTTGCTGGACGCCTATTGACTTTTGGCCAGGGTTGGCCTTAACATGGCACCAAATCCTTGGATGAGGTTCCCAAGTTTCGACACACCTAAATTCCGTTCCAACAGATGAAGAAGGAGCTGATCTTTGAGGAGGGCCGCCTGTATTTCCTGCATGTTTTTGAATATATTGGCTTATCTTGGCTCATTTTTCCGGGTGCCCTCCACACGCATTGTTGTGCGTCTCAACTCCACACAAGTGGCCAAGACATGCCCACAGGCGCACGGCCAACCGCAACGGCGAAAGTCTTCCACCATGCACTAGCCAAGCCAAACTGTGTGTGTGGGCGCGCGCGCGCGCGCGCGCGCGCGCGCGCGCGCGTGTGTGTGTGGTGTGTGTGTGTGTGTGTGTGTGTGTGTGTGTGTGTGTGTGTGTGGGTGCGTGTGTACAGATTCTATATGTTGTTTCAACAACAAGGTGGTAGTCTAATATACCATGTTTTATATCATATAGTAACCATTAGTCTAATAGAACATGGCTTATTAATATCATACAATGTAATTTGGTTATTCTATTGGATTGTATGATGTTTAGTCACATTATGTTATATCATGGTACGCTATATTATACGATAGTAAGTTATATTATGGTAATTTATTGCTGACACCCTGGGGTTCGGGGGCCTTAAAAAGAAAGGCCTTTAGGAAGCGGCCGTGAAATGTGGGGGAACGTCCTTTGTTTGCAAGCTGGACGCCTTTAATTGGGTTGACAGATTTGTGTTGGCCGCATTAGTAGCCACATGGCTTTGCAGTGCTTGTGGCTGAAAAGTACGCTTTCCAGGCCTCGCGAAAACCATGTAGACATGTTGAAGCTGGTCAATGCTCAAGGTCTTCAACTTTGTGGGATTTCTAGAGACATTGATCATGGGCTTAGCAATGGGACATCGACAAGGGAAAAGCGTGAAAATACCGTGAAATTGGCGTGAACGCTTTTTTTGCAGTGAAAGACCGTGAAACGCCGTGAAATTTGGCAGGCGAAAAACCACTCGCATTCGTCCTGGCTGGCGTTGTTTTCTGCTGGGTTTGAAAAGGTCTTGCTGAATGGATGTTTCGGGAAGACCATGATTGTTCCATTGATGATGCAGAAATGTGCTGTTTTAACGTTGAGGCCTTCGCAAGTCTTGCTTGGTGTGGAAAAGGCTTGTTGCTGACGATGTACAGTTGGAATTCCACCCAGGCCCTCATCCCCCAGCTAGTCAAACAAAGGATGTTCATGTAACGGCCTTTGTTTTAAAAGCCTTTTACCCCCCAGAAAACATATAATATATTGTCAAATATTATGTTTTACTATTTGCATTACATCATATACTTTGTATATATACATATGTAAAAATGGTCCAGTGTCTAGTGGTAAAAAAAACATGTCCCCGGGCCCCCCCCCCTCCCCCTCGACCCCCCCCCCCCCCCCCCCCCCCCGGGTGGAATCGTGGTAGGTGATTTCTGTTGCAAGCATCGGGTACATTTCCGGAAAACCCAACGGGTTGTTGACTTCTGTCCCGGCCCCCTGTGGAATCATGGTGGGTAACTTGTATTGCAAGCATCGGGTGCATTTCGGGTGCAATTTCGGGGACCTAACGGGTTATTGACTTCTGTCCCCGCCCCTCCCCTGTGGAATCATGGTAGGTGGCTATTGCAAGCATCGGGTGCAATTTCGGGGAACTCTGCGTGAATCAGAGGCAAAAGGACCTCCTTAGCTGCTCGTTCCATTTCTCGCATTGTCCGGGGGATCTGCGGTTGCCTCGCCATTTCCTATGGGGGATTTGTGAAGGCAGCGAGTGCTTCAGCCGCCGGGCTGCTCGTGGCTCAGAGCTCTGCCCGGGCCCAAGAAACGGTCAAGTCCCGAAGTCCCCCTCTTGGGATCAGTGCCCACAAAAAATCATGGGGGCGGGAGGGGGAGGGAGCCTGGGCTTAATGAGGGCTTTGGGCTCCCTCTCCCCCCCAGCCCCCATGAAAATACAGTCGAAGAGTGACTTTTTGGGGCAACAGCTGGGCGCGTTCTTGGCGAACTGGAATGGCAAACGCCTCGCCCATGTTCCGGGTTTAGGCCTTTGAGCAGGTCTCTTTAGGTGGTTTTAAGCCTCACTTTTTGGTTGCCCGTTGCATCATCAAAACATAGGGAGCCCAGTTGAAGCCAAGATTTGAGCAGTGCCCCGCGGTCGCAAGGACATTCTAGTCGGTTTTGGGGGGTTCTGTGCAGGGAACTCCCACTTGGATGGTTGTTAAAGAAGCATATAAAGGAAGTCAGCTTTTCGGGGTCCCAAATTCTGAACATTGCGAGCAACTCACTTGCGAAATGTTCGCTTGCAACTGCCGGTTAAAGGTATCCGGCTTGCATGGAGCTCCCATCAATTGTATATCCCAACCTCCACAATTAAACCCCGGGTGGGAACAGTCCCAAGCATAGGCTTACTCCCGGAGCTGCTGGACTTTAACCTTTCGGGGAAGACCATTTCAGCGGTAAGCACAAAGTTCAGACTTTCGTTTGCCAATCCAGGAAATGAGTAGGTTCAGAAATCCCGTCAGGTTTGACTCGGCGTGGCAATACGACCTTTGGAACGAACATGTTTGTAGTAGGGATTTGGACCAGATACTTAAGCAACACCGATTCCCGGGATGTGCAAAGACCATACATGGGAAATGACACGCTGACGCACCCCCCCCTTCAAGAGGATTTCTACACCGTCGCACCAGATCGTTTGTGCCATTCACACCTAGGTAGCCACTGCAAGACGGAGTTGCGACAGTTGAAGAGATGTCAGCGACTCAGAGGAGGGTAGCACGCGGTAGCGTGTCAAAACTTTTCGGACGATCTGAGCAGCGGTCAATACTCATAACTCATGACATGTACTATATATAGTGAAGCTTGAAGGGGACGACACCGGCCACACTTTCCAACTAATCGTTGGAAACAGATGTCGCCCAAGATCGGGTTTCCAGAACCTTGTCGATCTTGAAAGCATGCGGGGTTATTAATTAATATTAGTCAGGTGAATCAGGGGGAAACACGAGTGGGCAAATCCTACCGGATCAGTACAACGTTGTCCTTCACTGTTGACCCCTTGCTGAACAAGCCCGACATGGATCAATGAGGAACATCCGGTTGCTGCTATCCCCATTTATGACCAATGTCAGCTAAAAGGGCCCCAAGATAGAATTAAATACCCTTATTACCCTTTCAACAAATAGTAGTTGGGGGCACATCGCCATCAAAAGCCGACCATACATGTGTGTGTGTGTGTGTGTGTGTGTGTGTGTGTGTGTGTGTGTGTGTATGTGTTTAAGCCTACGGATTCAGCAGCAGGTCGACCTGCTGTTTCAGCTGGCATTGATTAGAGGTGCTAGGGCGTTCAAGGGAACTGACTTGCTCGTTGCTGGCACGCAAGCACATTTCCAGATTTACCCAAATTGATTTGGTATATTCGGTTCAGAATGTGTGAGTCTTAGGGAGCAAGAGCTGGTAGATTTGGAAGGATGCCATCTTGACTGCTGGGAAACTACTGGACTTTCCACTAAACCCCCAAAAAGTTAAACCTTTTGCAGGGGGATCAACAGCAACCAAGCCATTTGGATGGTTTCCATCACTTTGACGCATCCATGCCGGAACACTTCTTGATGAATCTTTGCCTGCTTGCCCTGCACCAATCAGGCGCCAAAGGGTGAAGCAGGAAACGAGCATTAGCAGCCCCTCTCTCAGGTCTTGGGAAGTGAAGAAGTGAAGCTGATGCTGTCTGAGCCAGCAAAAGCACAGAGTTTCAGAAAGCGGCTAGCTCAGCATGGGTTGTCTCAAAATGGGACCCTCAACACTCTTTTTTGGATGGGATGAAACACAGGAAATGGTCACAAGCCATGACCAGGTCCAACTGATTTTGAGACGGCCATGAATGTCTGAGAGGCTCGTCCGCGACTGCTTTGACCCCTGTTCGGTGTGTGGCCCCCTTTTGCAGGTTTGCGCGAGAGGGACGCTTCCTGGTCAAGCACATCCTTTTGAGATGCCTTTCATGCATACAGGTGGTGGCCCCTCACAGCAAGTCGCGCTAGGCGTCGCTAGGCTGTGCCGAGAGCCGGTAGGAAAAAGGGTGCTCGTTCAGACGCCTGGGGTGAGAAAGGCTAGATGTTACATTTTACAGGTGACTAACGTGAATCAGGCTAATCAGGTGATTGAGCGAGGGGTAAAGCGAGCTCACTCATGAGGCTTAGTTTCCATCGTGTTTGTTTTTTTTCCAGTTGGTGAGTAGGGCCTGGTGCAACTGGGCGTGGCGTGCGACCAAGCCCTGGTCACATGCTTTCCAAGCCCCATCCCTGTGCTTCAAACGTGGGCCCTGCGCAAGAACCTGCGTCCAACTCCGGTGTTTGATGTGACTTTTCGTGAACTCTCACTGGTGTTGCTGAAGTCATTCATGTTCCCTACTTGTAGGTAGCACAATCGTTTTGAAGAACATAGCCACAAAAGATCTTGGAGACTTTGGACTTGTTAGCTTTGCATCCAGAAATGCACCAGGCGTGGTGTCCGTATTTCTTACAGAAAGCACAGAACATAATTTTCTTGCTACACTGAAGCATAACATTGGCACATGAGGGGCACCGAAAAAAGACAAAACGCAAAAGCAAGGAGCTCATGAAGACGCGGAGTAATGTTGACCCCGGATTAATGTTGACCCTTGTTATAGCAATATGAGGGTGTTCCCCTCCAAAAGTGATGATTCCCCCCTAAAACCAGGGACACCCCCCATGCGAATCAACAGGGGTTTATGAATCGGGGCTCAACATGAATTGAGGTCAAACTCCTTGTGCGAAACTTGAGCCGCGCTTATAGCCACCTAAACTCGTGGAGCCAGTAGGTTCAGGGAAGGCAGTTGCGGAGTGGACAAGTGTCAAGCTGACGAAAGCTCGTATGGATTGATGGCGTGAGGGCTGAATCAGCTCATGAATCCTTGTCTCAGGGAATGTCCTTCTTCCCAGTTGTGAATTTCGGCACCAAGAATCTTCTAAGTTAGAGCCAACTTTGTGCGCTTCAGCAACTTCATCTCCCTTGCCACCCCATGACCCTCAAAGCAACTAGGTGGTCTGAACAAGCGAGAAACAGCGTCAGGTCGGTTGCCATAAAGTGGCTGTTTGGGATCCAATGGGTTTCGTGGCTGGGCGCCAAACCATGGTGGACGATTTGGATCCCAAAGGCCGCGGGTCCGTCTGTGAACTCCTTGCTGGACGAAGGGGAGGCCTGAATGCGAATCGAGTCCGTTTGGGCGGGGAGGAGAGAACTTCTGCAGTAACACCTGGCGGTCCTTTTCTACGTAGCCTCCAACAAACAGAAGTACCTGCCGGTTTTCCTTTGGGTATGTGTCGAGGGTATCCCTCGAACCCAACCGTGGAAGTGGGCCGGTTTGGCCGTTTCAGGACTGTAGTCCTCCACAACCCGGAATCATCCGCTTCCAACTTTGGAAAGTGGAGAAGTTTTACTAAACTAGGTCCCCCAGCTAGGTGCCCTTTCTCACCGTATCTCTTTTTGGTTGGGAGGGTTTCCCCTACTAAAATAGACTACAGAAAACAGTTGGTACCCTTATTCCAACCTCTCTACCGGAGGACCTAGTAAATCTGGTTGCCACCGTCTAGAAACTTGGCATGTTGTGTTGGCAGCAACACTTTCATCAAGGACTTTTGTTTTCGGAGACTATTTGAGTGGCGGTCTGTCGAACATCCCAATGTTCAAGCATCGCCCAAGTCCGTACAGGAGTCTGTGTAGGGCCAGAATGAAGACTTGCGGCTTGTACCCGCGCCCACAATTGTTTATGTAGCTAAAAGGGGTGAGCACGCATATGTATACAAATAACGATATACATATAAGTATTTTTACATGGTACCGCCCTGGAGGGCCTACAAGTATAGAAATAGGCCACCAGGTGAGTCTGTACTGTATTATTGGGGGGGCATAGAATATATATATATATATATGTATCTATATGTATATCTATACAGAACATTGAACTTAGTCATTTGTGCAGGCCTCCCTATGCACCCGGTCAAGTTGCGAATGCTCGCGGCTTTCGCAGGTCACAGCGGCCTGGGGCGACGACGACCTGGACTTGTGAGCTTTCGGGCTACGGCTAAGTGGGGGCCGGGGAAGCGGGGTACGTCACATTTATTTGCCTTTTGTGGGATTTAACAATGATTGGGGGTTTTGTTGGGGTATGGACATGAAAAGCCAGGATGTTCCTTTCACTTTTTCACTTGCGTTCAGATATCTTTTGGAAGGGCTGTTGTAAACATGAAGTTCCTGTAACTGGATGTTTGGAATGGGTTGTAAAAGCGATACATGTTGGTGCCTTTTGGTGGGGTGATGTTTAAAGCAGACACATGTTTCAGGACCACAGCAGTTGAACCCACGTATCACGCCCCACACTTCGCCCCTTTCGACTGGTCAAAGGAAGTCAAAATAAGCCAATCCAATTGGACCGAAACCAGTCACACTCGCTGGGAGGTCAGCAGCTGGTGCTTTTTTTTGAGGGCTTAAGAAGGCCAGGGACCGCCTTCCCCCCCTCCCCCCTCCATAGACCTGCGGGTTCCCTCGCCGTGCGGCAGAAGCGGCTCAAAAAAGCGTCCCCAAAACGTGCCGCAAGCGCGGGACGTGCGCAGAAGGCGCGCCGTGTTTTTGCGCAGATAGTGAGCGCCGTCCCAGGAGACTTGGATCATGACTCGTGACGTGCTTGGAGTTCGGTCACTTCAGTCTTTCTTGCTTCACACTGGAAGAGCAGCTTGAGTGTTTTAAGAACTACAGAGAGCCATCTCCGGTTGCAGACAGACAACACGCGCACCCCGGCGCGGCTCGAGATAGAAGATTTGGCACTTTGAAACGGAGGATTGATCGGTCAGCTGTGAAACAGCTGAGTTTGCCATGCCTGGAGTCTCCCTTTGACCCTTCAAAATGGGGTTCCCTCCAAGATGCTGCGCATTTACTGCACCTTTCTCGCAATAGCTCTTCACTCTTCCAACAGGGTCTGTGCATCTCCACGTTTGTTCGAAGGGTCATGTGCACACTTGGATAGCCAAGTTGCTTTTTTTTCGAGACACTTTGGCCCAATAAAAGCAGTCACAGTTGAAAGGAACAAAGCGGCAACTGACCATCTAGGCAGCTACTGTCGGGGTCACCCCATTTGGGGCTGCAGAAGGAGACTTTTTGGACGCAGACGGCTTTCTGCTTCAAGTCGGAAAAAAAAAAGAATCCAAAAAACGGGATGAGCAGGGCCTCTGTTGTATGGAAACCAACCTGGGCGGCAAGGTTTTGCTGAGCAGATTTTCCCTTGGATGGCCCCCATGAATCAGGGTTTGCACTGACCACTGGCTTTCAATACGAAGGGACTGATTCGGGGCACGGAGGCTTGGGTTGCCATTTGTGTTTCGATCCGATGCCGGCTCGGCAACTGGCCCAGCTTGTTTGGTTTTCACATTGACATGAGCATCTTTTTTCGCACCAACTATCATGGAACCTGACAGGGACCCGGTCCCTTCAGAAGGAAAAAGGTCTTGGACCTCCCTGTCAGGTTCCATGTTAAGTACTTGGAGGTACTTCCCAGGAACATCCAGCAACAACTGCCCGTGTCCAAAGGGGAGTCCTTATCTACGAGGCTTCAGGTGGACTAGAGGTCGGCAAGCTGATGGCGAGGTTTCATGCGACCAAGTCATTGGTGAAGTCGATCTACAGAACAATGGGCTTGTCGTTTGTTTTTTTTTGGGGGGGTGCCCTTTTTGGGATTGTGTTAAAGGGAGGCCAACCGTGGCCAACCGTACACCACACATTTTGAGGGTTCTCCTATTTAGACACAAAACCCAAATGCCAGGAGCAGAGGCAAGCGCGGGGCTTTGACCTAGCTGCAGCTGTCGAGCTTCGATTTGTGGGAAGCAGAGTTTGAGCTGCCGATCTCACAGTCGCACAGCATGCAAAGCTGGTAGAGCTGGGGTCACAGGTTGCCACTCACTTGCTGAACACCGATCCTTTTGAGCCAGTCCCTTGGTTTCAAGGTGTCATCTTCATGTCCATCCTTTGGGCAGATGCGGGTAGCGCATAAGTAATTAGTGAGTTCCCTTCAGGATGACTTTTCATTTATGCTTCACGAATTCATCCGGTGTTTGCCAAGCCTTGAATGCTCGCTGTGGAGTTGTTGGAGAATTGAGCAGGAGCGTTGGGACTTTTATGGCAACACATGAAGGATCTGTTTCTGCAGAGTTTTTTTCAGGTTTGGGATACAGGTCAGGAAATCCCACCAATTCCACAGGTTGAAAAGACGGGGTTCAACGTTCGATCCTTCGATCGCACGCACCCGAGCGAGTGATGGTCAGTGCAATGGTCAGAGCGGGCAGGCGCGGCCTGTGGGCCGATTGGCATTGGCCTTAACCCCTGGCTCCGCTGGCCAGGGTTTTTGACTGCTCGGGGGTGATAGGTACAAATGCTGATGAGTTTATCTTGGTACCGTATGTCATTGGTTTCGGGTATACTGAGCTTGGCACCTGAAAATGGTGCGTGTGTGTGTGTGTGTGTGTGTGTGTGTGTGTGTGTGTGTGTGTGTGTGTGTGTGTGTGTGTGTGTGTGTGTGTGTGCGTGTGTGCGTGCGTGCGTGCGTGCGTGCGTGCGTGCGTGCGTGCGTGCGTGCGTGCGTGCGTGCGTGCGTGCGTGCGTGCGTGCGTGCGTGTGTGTGTGTGTGTGTGTGTGTGTGTGT